GAGGGGAAAAAAAGGTGTGGGTGTGTATTGGGGTTGGGAGGGGGAGGGTAGGGGGGTGATAACTAAGACTGTTACAGACACCTTTGAATTTTGCTGACGCACATGGCGTGGCTCCGGAAGTCTGTTGAAAATAACCGTTTTTAACGAGCACACCGTGCGCTCTGCGGAGTCTTCGGTCGCTGCAGTGTTCTTTTTTGGAGCCATATTTGCTACGTCATTGAGTTTCTAGCGTGACGACGAAGCAGACCCAGTCCTTTTAAAATAGTTTTGCTCTAACTTTCGCAAACAGATTTGTATAAGAACTGAGGGCAGCTCATAAGTAACATTGGAGAAAATAATTAGATCTATATGTATTTTAGATAAAAAGGTATAAAAAATAATGGCAGGGTCATTATTGAAGAACAAAACTGCCAAAAAGTTCCCCCCCCCCCCAAAAAAAAGGAGGAAATAAATAGATAAACTAGATCTAGATCTAGATCTCCACCTACTTGGGAAAGACGTAGAATAACTAATTTGACAGGAACATTAAAACTCATTTCTTTTTTAAAGTAAAAAAGTAAGCCCCTCTTCCGTCCGTCCTCACCCCCAACAGCCCCTTCGCCGGATGAACACTTATTCTAAAAAACCCAAAAAGATAACCAAAAAACTAACAACAACAAAACAAAAAACAAAAAAAACAGAAGTCAACATAAAATAATCTGTCTTCTAAACAAAATAGCAACAAAATATTTCCGATATTATTATCTTGAAACACTACCTTTCAGTCGTTCATGGCATCACGTGGTATCCATTTCGCATGTACTTCTAGATCTATATCGGGTAAATTCTCCATAGAATTATGAACATACAAAGTCAGTTAGGACCTCTTTGATGTTCACTCCACAGGTTATGGTAGATCTAGATTCTAGATCTAGATCTAGAACCTGACCACAGAAATTCCACGTCGTCGAAAGATCCGTTCACACTACTACACGTATAAGAAGAATCCACAAGTAGTTGACCGTTCAGAGGCACTCAGTTTTACAAAAACACCAAACAAAATATAAAATCCATAAAAAGTGAAGAGAAAAACAACGGAGTGAGAGGTAGTGGGGAGTCTTCAGTTATCCGAAGGGGTATGTCGAAAAAAGGGTACCAATTCCCGAGAAGAGCAGAGATGTCAAATAATGTGTCAATCTCTACGTGCAGATGAGTCCATATTTCTCACACACAACCGTTGTCGTATCAGAGTGCCATCACTGGAAAAACTTGGGTGCGGACGGGGGCGACCTTATCGACGCGTCCGTGGAAACACTTAGCGTAGCAGGCTTCTCTCTACCTCTCTACCTCCACCCTCACTCATCCTTTCCTCCCTCCCTCTCCGTCCGCGCTGTATCCTATCCGTCCCGCAAGCAAAGCGCTTGTTCTTCTTCTCTATCGAATCGGCCCCTTACGATACTCCTCCGACCGTTGTTGCCAGTTGCCACCACTACAACTTGGCTACTACTACAACTCCGCCGAATCTCTCTCTCTCTCTCTCTCTCTCTCTCTCTCTTTCTATCTCTCTCTCTCTCTCTCGCTCTCTCGCTCTCTCACTCTTTTCCCCCACCTTGGCGGAGAAATCGGTGGTGGTGGTGGCCGTCGAATAGGGCCGAGCGAACCACCTGTACAACGACGCAGTCAGCTCAGCGGCGTTCTCGGCTCTCGGCTCCTGCCTTCTTCTACATCACAACGCCGCTACCGAGCAACGAAAACGCACAAAGCGCGGCCGCTCCGCTCTCCGCACTCCGCTCGACGACGCCACTAGAGGACTTCTGTTCTCTACAAACGGGGCCTTCCCTCCTTCGCTTGACGCTTGCTGGTGTTGGGTGGCTGGGTTGGTTGATCGGGGGGCTGAGGTTGATGGGGGAGGGGAGATCAGATGGGGGTTGTTGGGGTGCTGTTGTTATTCCTTTGCAAATAATGTGAGGGATAGAAAGAAGGGGGCCACCTCTGCTGCTACTACTGCTACAACTACTAGGCTACAACACACACACTAACGGAGAGTTGAATAATACGACGGACGGACGGACTTCGACCTCCCTCCACCCCCCACCCCCCACGCCAGGCTGCTCCTCTATTCATACAAACACACCCTCTTTTTTATACTTCTCCACAATTTGTTATTAATCTAATGACACTTTCGCTTGTTGCCCTCATTGCCATTATTCCGCTGTTATTTTGTTTATAGTTGCTGCTGTTATTTTTCTTGTTGTTATCGGAATCTTCTTGAAGCTGATTTTGTTTTCTTCTGATTATCCATTTGTTTGTTGTTGTTGGTGGGGTTTTTTTCTTCTCTTGACCTCGCCTTTTAGCGAGATTCACCAATTTCTCTTGTGTGTTTATCTATCTCTCTATTCTTGTTCTCTTTAAACATTTCTTTTTTAAAACGTTCTACCCTCATCACCCCTATCACCCCCCGCCTTCTCTCTCTCTCTCTCTCTCTCTCTCTCTCT